CTTTAGGTATAATTCATCATAAATGTATTCATAATGTACATTGTAATGCTTTATTATCTTTTCATAAATAATTGTAACCGAAGTTAAAATGCATTATAATATTTGAAGGTTTGTTTGCCATGCGTTTTAATGCATTATAATTTCTGAAGGTGTAACAATGAATAGATACAATAAGTATAATCATGTATTATAACTATAGTTAAAGTTATTCATGAGATAATACAGTGTATTATACTGTGTATTACAAAGCATAATTAATGCATTAAAACTACTTTTGTAATGCATTATATATTAAGCCTTTAAGTAGTGTTAAAAACTTTAAGAAATAATAATAAAAATAAAATACAACCAAATTAAAATAATAAAAAAGATCATACCATTTAAAGGTTGTGTCATTGTTTTTTTTTGTTTGTTTGTTTTTTTCACAATGCAAAATATTTTCTTCAATCTCAATTTAACTAATGTCGGTAACATGTCCAAAACCTAAACAGTTCATTAAAACACACACTCTCTCTCTCTCTCTCACACACACACACACACACACACACACACGCTTACACTCAGTAATCCTGTCCAGACTAACATAGCAACATAGATCACTTTCAACCTAGAAGTTCGCATCACCCTGATTTCCACAACAAAAAACCCAGAGGATTTTTCCATTCACTTTTGTAGTAGTACAGAAATAAGATCTGTGACCAGCAAAAGTGTATTACCTTATTATGGCACCGGGACTTTTGACACCATTTAACACATTTGTGTAATAAAGTGCAGCAGTGCCCGTCCACTTTTTCAGCGGTATTCTGGAAGTATTTCTTCCGTTAATTTTTTTCATAGGGCTTTAAATTAATCTTTTTTAACAAAACCAACCAGCTACCAGGTAAATCACAACGTTACAAACATAAGTGACAAATTTAAAATTATTAAACTATGCTGCACTATATCCAGTCGGTATGGAAGCCTGTTTCCGCCACTGAATAAAAAAAATTAAAAAGGTAATTGCGACTTTTTATCTCATAATTCTGACTTTTTTTTTCTCGCAATTGCGAGTTTACATCTTCCAATTCTGACTTTTTTCTCAGAATTGTGATATAAACTCACAATTGCGAGTTATAAAGTCATAATTGTGATATAAATTTGCAATTCTGAGAAATAGTCAGAATTGCGAGTCAGAACTGCGAGATATATATACTCACAATTCTGACTTTTTTCTCAGAATTCCGAGTTTAAAAATTTCGAAATGGTGACTTTTTTTTTTTTTTTTTTTTTAGAATTGCGAGTTTACATCTTCCAATTCTGACTTTTTTCCCTCAAAATTGTGATATAAACTCACAATTCTGACTTTTTTTCTCAGAATTCCGAGTTTAAAAATTTCGAAATGGTGACTTTTTTTTTTTTTTTTTTTTTAGAATTGCGAGTTTACATCTTCCAATTCTGACTTTTTTCCCTCAAAATTGTGATATAAACTCACAATTCTGACTTTTTTTCTCAGAATTCCGAGTTTAAAAATTTCGAAATGGTGACTTTTTTTTTTTTTTTTTTTTTAGAATTGCGAGTTTACATCTTCCAATTCTGACTTTTTTTATTCCTCAAAATTGTGATATAAACTCACAATTCTGACTTTTTTCTCAGAATTCTGAGTTTAAATCTCAAAATGGTGACTTTTTTTTTTTTGAATTGCGAGTTTACATCTTCCAATTCTGACTTTTTTTCTCAGAATTGTGATTTAAACTCGCAGTTGTGAGTTTATAAGTCTTAATTGTGATATAAATGTGTAATTCTGAGAAATAGTCTGAATTGCGAGTCAGTACTGTGAGATATAAACTCACAATTCTGACTTTTTTCCCCAGAATTCCGAGTTTAAATCTCAAAATTGTGACTTTTTTTTTTAGAATTGCGAGTTTATATCTCACAATTCTGAGAAAAAAGGTCAGAATTGAGAGTTTTTATCTTGCAATTGTGAGCTTATATCACGCAATTCTGAGAAAAAGTCAGAATTTTGAGTTTATATCTCCTAATTCTGAGTTTATAACTTGCTATTGCGAGTTTATATCATGCAATTTTGACTTTATAACTCAAAATTGTGAGTTTATATCTCTCAACTCTGTGGAAAAAAAAACTCAGAATTGTGAGAAAAAGTTAAAAATTACAAATTAAAAAAATTTATTCAGTGGCGGAAACAGGCTTCCATAAGTCGGTCACTATTGCTGAACACAAACTGCCCAGATTATTGAGTGCCTTGTTGGCTACAGTGTTTACTTCCCTATTTTTCATGTTTTAATCAGTTCCTTTGTTTGTGAAAAATGATATAATAGAATCTGTAAAAGCATGCAAAAACTGCTCAAACTGACAAGGAAATGCTATGAAACCTTAGCAAGATAAAGGAGTCCATTTCCCCCAAAAATGTAGAATGTCATTTCCACCAGCGAATGTTATGAAACACATCATTTGAGATGTGATGGAAATTACACTGTGGTGGAAACTTTCAGAAAAAAGAACAAAATTCTCCCATGATATATGCATATCTACTCTTGAACAATGTTAGTAGACAAATAAAAATAAACTAGTTAGAGTGTGAAAAGTATGTTTTAAGAGAGTTTAAGTTCACAGAGCTAAAAATGGCCATAGTTGAAGAAACACCTGTTGGCTATTTAGCACCTACACTACGTGACCTCAGAGCTCGGCTTGTATGTTCAGAAATTAATTATATTAGACAAGAGCAAATATAGGTTATATGGCATTTGCAACGTCTGTAAAAGCATGCAAAAACTGCTCACACTGACAAGGAAATGCTATGAAACCTTAGCAAGATAAAGGAGTCCATTTCCCCCCAAAATGTAGAATGTCATTTCCACCAGCGAATGTTATGAAACACATCATTTGAGATGTGATGGAAATTACACTGTGGTGGAAACTTTCAGAAAAAAAGAACAAAATTCTCCCATGATATATGCATATCTACTCTTGAACAATGTTAGTAGACAAATTAAGAGAGTTTATTTAAGTTCACAGAGCTAAAAATGGCCATAGTTGAAGAAACACCTGTTGGCTATTTAGCACCTACACTACGTGACCTCAGAGCTCGGCTTGTATGTTCAGAAATGAATTATATTAGACAAGAGCAAATATAGGTTATATGGCATTTGCAACGCTAACACTTTTGCTCTCCGTCACTCTTAACGTCTCTCTTAAAGACAAAAAAAACTATTTTCTCTGTATCTGTTGGTTGTTTTTATATATATATTACTCTAAATTATGTTACTTTAAACATAACATGTCTTCGTTCTGTTATCTGAATATCAAAATATGAGGCGGAGTATTTATTAAACATGAATCCGATTCTAGGAGATTACAAAGCAATTTTTGAAAAATACAGTGTGGATAACATTGTTTTTTTGTTGTAACATTCAGTTTGATGTTGAAGGGATAGTAAAACTGATTACAGTGATATCTATGCATCATTATGCACTGATGGGCCTCACAAATGGCTTCAGAATTCATTCTAAAGCAGTTTACATCCTATTACGACTTCATTACACAGGACACGTATTGCTTATGGATTGAGTATTGATATCGAATGTCATGAACGCACGGTTCTTCCCTCATCGTTTTGTGTTTCATCAGCCGTCTGCACCGCTCGTCTCGTACACAAACACGTGTGTACGCGCGCTCTCAACTCGGCCTCAGGTGTTTGGGCACAGCCATTACTTTATCAGGCTGTTTTTTCCTGCTCATTCAAACGGCTCCCTGATGAACGGCGCCCCCGAGTTCTACAGAGAGAGATTTTAATTCGTATTATTATTAAAAGAATCACTCACTGCAATCTGTTGCAAAAACACCATCTGCTGGATCACTCGTAGGACCTCCGTTGCTTATTAGGCAGAATTAGACAATGATTTCCTCTCCTCTGCTTGCATTCCTTCTCCCTCCTCTCTCAACTAATTCAACTTAAGTTGTTTTATGGCACTTTGCAACTAGCTTTTCTGCTGCATTTCATTCCAGTGATTAATTCCCAGATGTCATGTGTTCTGGGATGAGCTCGGAGTGATTGGCAGAGGGGTTAACTCTATAACGGCCTGGGGAGAGATGGGATTTTGTGCAGAAGTTTTGTCTGTAGGTGTGGAGGCGGTCAGATTGGCGGGAACATGGGCTCGAATCTGGCCTGCGTCATATCCCAATCCCCAATTTAAAACACCCTCTATAAGTTTTCACTTACAACTGTTCTCTTTAGCCTATTTTAGGATGATTTCTTTTTTGCAAATATTTAAAATATTAAATTAATATAATACAACAATGTATTTATATGCACATCATGATAGTATATGTCGTTCGGACTTGAATTTCTGCTAATTTATATTAAAAAAAACATTTTATTACACTAATGCTAAATTAAACAAGCTCAAAATTAAAACATTCAGACAATTTAAAATAATGGGAAAATGTCATGAAAATGTCACAATACAATAAAAAATTGGCTTCATTTTTATACTGATTATAATCAAGTTTTTTATTAATTTATATATTAATATATAATATGTTTGAGCACCAAATCAGCATATTTGAATAATTTTTTTAAAAATCATGAAATGACACTGAAGACTGGAATAATGACTGCTGAAAATATATTAAAATAGAAAACCATTTTACCGTATCTTATTTTTACTGTATTTTTGATCAAATAATATTTTTGAACAAATTATGTTCGATCAAATAATGTCCTTTTAAATTATAGTCTCATGATTCTGAATGTTATAATATACTTGCATAGTACCAATCAAAAGTTTTATTTCAAAAGAACAAGAAAAGCCCTGGTTTTGGTTTCTACCCATATACAGTGGGGCAAATAAGTATTTGATACACTGCTGATTTTTCAAGTTTTCCCACTTACAAAGAATGGCGAGATCCCAGTCTTGTCTCTGTGCTTACATGTGGAGTTTTGGTTCTGTTTAGGGATCCGGACTCTCACTCAATCTCCCTCTCTATCTCTCTGCTGTCCCCAGGCGGCAGCGAGTCGTCCTGGGATAAAGAGAAACTCCAGTCCCCCCTTTCCTCTGGTGCCCAGCATGGTCTGGCTCACGCCGGCCTCTCCTCTCAGCACGGCCTGTCAGGGTCTCATCTCTCTTCCCTACAGCAGAGTCATCTCCTGGCTAACCGTGAGTCATTCATTCATCACATCCACTCATTCACTTGAGCACCAGCTCCAGGTGTATTGATTCTGCTCGGCCCGATTGAGCTACACATCATGTTAGTCATTCATTCTTTGCTTCACTGCATACTCCCATTCAGGCCGCCCATTTAGACTGTTATCCAAGTCACTGTGTAGTGTATTCATGACTATCAAGTGTTTTTCATTTCTGTTTGTTTTTAAAGACAACACAAAACAGTATTTCATGCACATTTTACTTCTGTAATGTGACATAATTTGAGTGAAACTGGGAGGAAAACATTGATTTGATTCATTTGACTGGATTGTAAAATATGAGTTATATTATTTTTTTCCTTCACCTACACAATCTCAGGTACTTAACCATAAAAGAGAAGTTATTTGAAAAACAAAAATGAATTAAAATAATCATAAATTGGCGCTGTTTTATTACTGTGACACTGAAACAATCTGTATTGTATAAAGTGCTACATAAATACATAAATTAAAAATTCATTTTCTTGTTTAGCATAACAAAGCTGTACTGACTAATCAATCTCTAATGAATCAAAACATTTATTGAAGGTGAATTGTGGAATTGTAAAAATGATGAAAGTTTTCGAACATGTTTCCTGAACATGCCCCTGTCTACCATTGGTCAGACAATCGGATAGTCCTGCCCCCAACTTTATGCCATTGGTTGAGCCAGTGTTGATGTGTCAGGCGGGTGAGATTGTTTTGGTATAGTATTTTAACATCACATTTAAAATAGAAAAATGAATATTCATAGTTTTCAGCCACATGACTGGCGCAGAAACCGGGAGGGCAAAACATCCATAGAACTGCAGCACAGGCTGGTCAATTTTCCATCGGTTTCAAGCCACAAATATTTAGATCACCTCTCGAAAGAAGAAACACAAGGACATGTGAACAAACTGCAAGTCCTACAGCACCTGCTGCAGTATTTCAATCACTAAAACAGCGGGACAATCTAAAACACTTAATGTGCCCTAATGTATCGAGACGGCAATATTAAAAGATCAAATTCAACTTTTGTGATGATGCATGTTATATACAGGCAGATGAGCCCAGAATATGAATGAAACTTTGCGTTCATGTTCTGGGTTCATCTGCTTGCCCGTACATAGTATGTTTTATTAATAATCTGAATGCTGAATTTGGTCCTCCAGTATTACGGTTTTATTACAATAAGCATTTTCTGTATACTAGTTTTCTATTGGAAAATGCTTAACATGCAAGTTAACATGGTGTGTTAATATCACTGTCTTAGTTTTGCCCTCTGGGTGGGTGTTCCTGTAAGGATTTTATGTCATGTGAAAACTATGACAACAGAAGTGATTACTGCATCGCAGTTTACCAACTAAGTTCCATATAAACAGTCTCTCCCTCTCTCTGTTGTGGTCTTTCAGGGCTGGACCTGCCGTTTATGATGATGCCCCACCCCCTGCTGCCCGTCAGTCTGCCGCCTGCCTCCGTTGCCATGGCGATGAACCAGATGAACCACCTGAACACCATCGCCAACATGGCCGCAGCTGCTCAGATGCACAGCCCCCTGTCCAGAGCAGGAGCGACTGTCATCAAGGTAACACGCGCAGACACAAAGTTGAGACTTCAGTGGCCAAATGCAGAGAAGTCGTTCATTAGGACTCTAATGTGCGCTCAGATCTCTCAGCTAGAGTCAGCTCATTTTCACCGCGTGCACAGCACATCAGTCAGAGAACCGCAGATCCCCTCGGATTGGTGTCTTGCTCCGATGAAATGGTAGATACGAGCCGGTCTCGCTCTACGAGCCATTTAACACCTGGGAGAGAGCTGTATACCAAACCATCTTTAATTTCTACAAGAGAGAGTTTGATTCGAAATACTCCGAGGAGGAATAACAGAATAAATGTTCTGTTGGGTCCGTGCGGAGCACGTGTTAGGGAATATTAGATGCAGACTTTAAAGACAAACACTATCTGTTATCTTACTGCCATGTTCCCCCTGAGAGGAGAGTGTGTGTGAGTCAATCTACAGCTGGAGGAGGACACTTGTGTGTTTCTCGGAGATGCAGAAATGGCCTGAGGCGTACAGTACACACGCTTATATAGATATTCACTGCCACACACAAACGCACTTAAAATACTGTAGCAATAGCTTCTGTCTGGGTACCACAATATAACGCACAGAATGTGTTTTTACTGTGAAAAAAAAATACAATTTTGGTTAGATTTACTGGACTTCTTAGTTATGTTTCTCTTAAAAATCCTTTAGAAAAATAAATAGACGCAATGAGGCAATTGCTGTATAGAAGAGAAAGAGAATTTATTTTTGGAAGAATGTGATGAGAAATGTTCTAGCAAATCTGAGCACTCTGAGATATTGTTGAGGTCTGTGAGGGGCATTTTTCTCAGGAGAAACACCTGAGAAGCAGGAGACTCCATGTAATCTCATTGATGTCTAGAAGAAATATTAAAGAGATTTTATTTGTGGGGGAAAAAATCATAATGTTGATGGAAATTTTAAATCAATCATATTATCATAACTGTTATTTTTGTATTGATATTTGTTAATATTTTGAATTTGATTTTATTTTTGTCTGTTTTCACTTTAGGTTTATAGTGTTAATAAGGTTTGTGTCATTTTTTTAAAAATATATCTACATGATATTTATTAGTTTTAGTTTATTACTAGGTAACATTTATTTTATTTCAGCAACAAAATTTGGGTTTTACTTTTTTCTATTTAAAATGGCAGGCCTGTTTGAGTCATTTGTAAAGAATATGTGAACTGAATCTCTCTGTGTGTGTGTGTGTGTGTGTGTGTGTCAGGAGTGTGTACAGGACAGTCCGTCTCCTGCTCCATCTCTGGAGGAAGCCCCTCGTCCCGGATCACAGCCCTCTTCTCACCCTAGCAGTAGTGTGTCCAGCTCCCCAAACCCACACACACAGAGTCCTGAACGCCTGGGTCAGTACAGACACACATACTCATTTAGTTTAAATGCTATCAGACTGTAGACTGATCGTTTTCTATAATGCCAATTATAATGACTACAGACTAACCCACCCACAAAAGTAAACTTTTTTTGAATGAAAAAGGCATAAAACAAAAACGTTACAAGTAGTTTTTTAATAAATGACAACGTTCCAGAATGCTCCCAATGGGAGGCAATTACATCACTGTCAGAATTACATCACTTCTGGGGACAAGCATGAGGATGCATGCTTTCTCTTTATGTGTGCAGTTCTGAACCCGACCGATGGAGAACTACCAGAACGAGACACCGGCATCAATATGAAGAAAATCCTTAAAGAGAAAGGTTAGTTCCTCTCTGAAGCACTAAACACGGTCTACACCACTGTGTGTCGCTCGCTTGCAGCACATACAAGTGCATTCACATAAAAAAAAGAAATTGGGGGAAAAAAAAGCTTCATTGTCTGTACTGTAATGATGCATGAAGCACCTTTCTGTCGCAACTTTGTCAGTCAACGCAACAAATTTGTGTCGGATAAACCTTATGTAAAATCTGCAGGTGGGGATTTTTCATCATTTTGCTAAATTCCCCATCACACAGATTCCTACAGAAATTACTGGATTTCACTAGTGAAATTTTGCAATGCAGCAGTAAATGAACACCGTATCCTAAGGTGCAATGTAAGTTTGCAGTGCCAAGTAATTTCATTGTCCTCAATGAAAGTAAAAACGCTTTACAGAGTAATGTGTAAATTTGTTTGTGAAATCTGTGTATGAACGTTTTTACGAACTAATCAGGAGTTATCGATAACTTTTTCACTTCATCTAGATTTACAGAAAAATGCTGAAACAACTGAAACCACATATACATAAGTCACTTTGGGTGGCCTTATAAACATGTTAAAATAAAACTGAATACATAGGTATTTCACCTTATACATCTCAAATTCCTGTGTGCAACTGAAAGTTTCCTGTGCACATAAAAACAAAGAACAATCCCACAATTATTATTTGTTGTAGTAACAATACAAAAACCCATGTGGAAGACACACCACTCAGATGTGAGATGTAGAGCACATTATAAACATCGTCTCAGGAACAATGTAGTAAACGCAGCTGACTCCTTGATGATGTCGGTTTAACGCTGCCGAGTGTATTGACATCTCGCATAACATTTTAATGCGGACTGATGCTCGTTAGTGAAATTTACACCCCGTTGGTTTAGACTGGCAGTATATCAGCATCACAACACTTCTCTTTTAATTAATGGCTTAATTAGGAGCTTAACTGAACATATATGAAGTTCATATTTACGGCCTGTGTGAGTAGATGAGTGTAAGAGAGCTGTTAGTGCAGCTAAATGCGTAATTCATCATTATAAGAAAATGTTTTTCTATGACACAATGATACGCAGGTGTGTGTGTGTGAGAATCTTGAATGTTGCGGTGTGTGTGTGTAGGCACCATTGCATAACTTGTGTGCGAGTGTGTGTTGGTACAGCAGGTGGTGGCCCCTAACGCACATCACACACAGGGCTGCTGGGAGGAGACGATGCAAAGATGCCCCGAGGCTCTCTTAAAGAGATTCAGTGTGCACCTGGCCTCCAAACATATTTTATTAATGCGTCTGGAAAAGAATCCACCCCAAACACACACACACATAAATATGTGAATACAGCAAACGACTCTTGTTTTTAAAAGTGCAGCATGCCGCATTTACTGCAGGGTTGAGAAAAGAATGCAGGAGCCAGGAAATTTAGGTCACTGACCACATACTCACACACGAAGACTCCTATTATTATTATTTGTCTCTCCTTCTCATTCCAGGATAGTCCAAATTCACTATCACACATCTTCAAATGCGTATCAGTAGACTTCTGCGCTACTTTATCCAATCTGAGCGTCAGTTTAACCTACATGCACACCCACACACACACACACAGGCCACACTGAACACCTGAGAGGATTGACTTAGTAAAGATTGGCCATGATTATATCAAATATGTCTGCTCTAGTTTAATTCTACAGTGTGCTGTTTAATTGGAATTGCATTACATGCTGGTATGAATTCTCTTCAGTTCTTGTTAGTGTGTGTCTATTCACTGACCAGTAATTCATTCCCCCTTTATTTTATATCCTCATTTTCTATTTTTTAAAACCTATTAATCTTCATTTTTATACCTATTTATCTTTATTTAATTTTTTACCGTTTAATATATTAGAACCACATGTGTATCAGAAAAGCCCATTTTTATATTTTGTGAGTGTTTGCCTGTCCAAAACTCTAGCGATGCTAGTGTGTTCTGGGTGGTTGTCTGGATGTTGCTTATTGACCTAATTCAAAAAGTCTCTATGACATTCTGTCCCCTACATATGACTTGAGTCTATGGGATTTTTCCCATTTTTAATTGCCTGACAGGTGAAAGTCTAGTCACTCAGAAAAAAATAACATGCATGTCTTTTAAAAGCAGCGTAATTTGAGGTATCATTTATATTTGTAGAACAAATTGTGTGGCAATGACACTGTACATGCAGTGCAGTTTAACACCTAAAATGTAATGTTTACTGTAACATCCCTTTCTTTTGGTACTATTTAATAGTTAAAATTAGTCACATTAGCAAAATTTGGTGAGATCCATTGTCAATCACAAACACTAAACAATTTTTAAACCAAGCAAGCAGCTTTCTGTTGGTGAGCACTTGAACTTGATGTGAAATCTGTGCTGACAAATCTTTTGCCTTCATGCAAAATTCCAAATCACATGGATTTCGGTTGAAAAGACTAGATTTTGCCTGTGAAAATTTGCCGAACAATGGTAAATGTGACTGCACCTTCATTTTCTTTTAAATTCTTTGCAACCTCAAATCTAAAGTTAACAACCTAAAGTTGAAAAGATCAGAGACTCACAAATGTAGATTACTCGGGGGGCCCATTTTCTTGAATCCTCACGAAAGGGCCATTGAATTTTAAACACTGTTTAGCCTCTGTCTGTCTGTCTGTGTGTGTGTGTATCTGTGTGTGTGTCAGTGATGATAAACAAAGTGACGTGGTGGTACGTGGTGATGAATGGTGAAGCCCGGGGCCAGGAGCACTGTGTTTCAATGGGACTTTAGCGAGTGAACCCCCTCTCTAGCTCTCCATAAATCACTCGTTCTCTTTACCTCTCTTCCTCTCTTTCACTCAGGGCTGGTTGAATGCCAACAGGAGCTGCTCTCACTGCAGGCAGGGTCTCTCTTTTCTTAAAGAGCAAATGGAAATTCTGATATTATTCGGTGGGGTTTTGGTTCATATGCGAAGCATTTAGCACACACTAACATTAATCTTACAATCAGGCCACTGATTCTCGCAGGCCTTTGAGAAAAGTGTAACGAAGCCATGCAGCAGGTATATTAAAGATTCCTTTTTATTAAATAGTAAACGGAACACTTTTCCATACATCAATGACATTAGGTATGGCCTATTATTATTGTTAATTGAATCCCAAATTATTGGACAACTTATTTTGTGAGCAGAAACCAAGTGACCAACTTTACATAAATGTATGGCTGTTTTCCATAACTGAGAGGATGTTTCATTTACACCTTGATTAGGATGAAATATACGTCCATAATCTGGATGTCAGACCAGACATTGTGCTGTGCAGGTACCAGCGTGTTTCTCATTGGTTTTTGTTTCTGAAATCACTTCATTCTACACATAAAGTCTAGCCCAGAGTCTATACGTGTTGTATGATAGTGTGCTAATGCATTTGGGTTAAGCTGATGTGAAGCACTTTGGCTATAGAAGCACTTAGTGTACGTTTGTGTGTGCGAGAGGGAGCATGGGTAGGCCGAGACTTCTGCTCCGTAATTGCTCGGTCCAGTTTTCCACAGAGTAGATATGTAGCATCTGGTTACAATCAATGTTTCCCTCCGCTATTATGAAATTAGCTGCGCGGAAATGATTTGAAATGGCCTGTAATGATTTCTGATAGAAATGTGCGCCATTGTTTCGCCCTTTGAGATAAGCGTGCTGGTAAATAAGTCACAACAAGCGAAAAAGGAACCGAAACGATCGCTTTACCTCGTTCCAAGTCAGGGATCAGGCCTCAAACAGCAAGCGCTTGGCTTTTCGAGCCTCGTATTTTTAATCTTCATTTTTGTTTGTTTATTCGCAAGCTCCTCCTTCAGATATGTGCAAAGGGGACCATCCATGGGCTTTGAAGACCCTTTTTGATCATTAGGTTGATTGCTGTTGTAAGCGCATTTGTGATGGTTTAATTAAACCAAGACCCTTTGCGGGGCCCCAGCGGCCCTCGAGAGCTCTCCGGCTGGAGGGTTTGAGGGTCTGCTCGCGGCGCACAGTGTTTCTCTTTGTGTTAACGATGAGGAACAGATATTAGGCGAGGAAAATCAATGACATGTTGGAAAGAAAAAGTAAACCGTTACAGTTAGCAATTTGGGGCAAGGTTAGCACGGTTGAAAGTCACCCCACAAAAGCGACATTTTTGGACGAGAACACAAGTGATAAATGATGTGCGCTCTATCTCCTCCTCTCTCCCGCGCGCACACACACAGATGAAGGCAGAGAGGAGGAGAAGGGTGAGGACAGGTGCTTGTGTTCTGCTCTGGTTCTGAGGGAAGAGTTGGAACAGGTTTTTGTCTCTCAGGCTTGCGCGGTCTCTTGTGCGGTGTCACTATTGCATCTGAAGTAAAGTTGCCCCAAGGAGGACAGAGATAGTTGTACCGATAAAAGAAAGCAATGCACGAGCCAGAATTGAATAATGCAAATTACAAGTTAACAGAGAAAACAAAGCCATGAACATAGACATGCACAGGCTTAACTCTACATCATACACATATAAAGAATTTGTCCTTTAGTTTATTGTGATATCTTGCTTGAGCTAATCAAATTAGCTTTTCAACCACTTAACGCTATGCTAAGCTATAGGCTAAACTGTTAGCTTGTTAACCAAAGGCTACCTGAAAAAAGTAGCTGCGTCTGAAATCGTATACAGTTTAGTAGGCACTACGTTTGAATAAAACTATTAAAAAATATGTTTAGTATTTATGTAAAAAGCATGCAAGTATTTACAGCACAGCGAGCTAGATTGTAATGCTAGTCGTTAACGGTTGGTATCAGAGGGAGAGGACGTTCTCATTGTAGTGTGAAAAAAATAAATAGTATACGTCCCCAGAAACAAGGTAATTATAATTATAATACAAGATTTATATGCTAGCATACATGTAAAAGTTCAACCTTTATACAGATATACAATAGCATTTACATTAGCCTCAACGCAAATACGCTAAAGGCCTTTTCAAATCATATTCTGATCAGTTACAGCATCCTGTAAAACTAGATAAA